AAAAAAAAAAAAAAAAAAAAAAAAAAAAAAAAAAAAAAAAAAAACATCGGACCTGCGTAGCATCGTGTTTGCGTTTGGAGGCGAATGAGCGCCCAAAACCCTCTGAAAAAAAAACAAAAGAAAGTTTAAAGACCAAACTCAGAAAATTCAAAAATCTGAAAAAAATGACATGTAATGTAAAACAGCAATACATGTAATGTAAGCCTCTCCTTCCAAAGCTGAACCTTTGCCTTGTCACTCTCTGCCCCCCAGGTCACGAGTTCAAATCCTGAAAAAAAAAAACTAAAAAAAACGTCGAGGAGCCTGAAGAGAACTTCCCACTGGGGTTTCTCGATTTATGCATGTCATCCTTGAAAGCGCAGGGGCCATACTAATCTTCTTTCTCTGTATCGTTCCAATTTAACGGATGTCCCCAACGGACTAGATTCAGCATATCTATTGTAAGTTGTAACTAGGACTATTAGATTCAGCACCTCTATATGTGACTTCTATAGTCTTCTAAGATAATTTCACAGGCATCGATGATCGATTGTCAATCTCTGTGAAATAATCTGACATCGAGGATCTCACCGTCTTTTGGCATGCACGGAAGCGAGCAGGGCCATCAACGAGTCCCAATTTCCGGGCATGGCGAGTCGCCATGTCACGCATGCTCAAGTTCCGTTGGTAAGTTTGTCTTTGTAGCCGTGAATGTTCCGCAGCCAAACGGAATCGAACCAGTGACCTCCTCAGCTATAACAGGCGGATGCCTTTACCACTTCAACTGTGACACGGTGTCCAAAACAGAAGTCATACCAGCCGTGACATTCAGCCCACCCCAGCACAGTTGCAGCAAAGACTTACACGTCAACGCGAGACATCCATGAGATCCACCGCACGCAACAGCATCCACGCAGAACGCAAGAGCCTCCACATTTGCCAGCATCCGCACAGACACCATCATCCAGGTAAAGCCCTCCTGGTGGGTTACTGCCCTCGTACGCTGTCAGTAAGTTTGCTGTTGCAGCCCTGATCGTTCCACAGCGAGATGCAATTGAATCGGTGACCTTGGCTATAACAGCCGGATGTCTTTACTGCTGCACTGCAACTGCGGCCCAGTGTTCAAAACTGAAGTCATAGCCCGGGCCACGGCGAAACACAGTGAGGAAACTCGGAAGCGAGGTTCAGATCGTACGCAACGGTTCTCTCTCCTGCATCTGCATGTGCCATTTCTCAACTGGGCACGTACGATCGATAGAAGGAACTCCTTCCTCCTTAGCAAAAAAAAGTTAGGCAGGGGTGAGCGGTGGTGCATCCTTCCCAAGTAAAGTATTCCCACGTCCTTCCCAAGTGGTCGCACGTCCTTCCCAAGTGTTCCCATGGGAAGTAATCAATGCTGTGCACTGACTCCACTCGGGTATCCTAACCATAATGGGGAGTGAAACGGTATTCAACAGTTCGCAGTAGCTGATGCAGATCCCAGGGCTCGATCCCTAGTCCCCACCTTACCTGTGTACAGTATCTGTGTCGACCCCTAGAGTTGAACCCGTGACCTGTGCATTTGTAACAGCTGATAGGTTGTCGTAGGGTCCATAGGTAGTAGGGGTTCGATCTGTAGACCTGTCGAGTAGGAGTTCCAGTCAGGCCTAGCAGTCGTAGCTTTAGCTGTCTCGAAGGGTCAAGGTCGTAGCTGCTACAGTAACGAAAGGCCAAGTCTACGGCCTTCCGAAAGGTCCCAGTAGTGAGTGGCCTTTCGAAGTTGCCCACGTTTAGGCTGAGGCAAGTGGGCAAGTGGTGAGGCAAGTGGGCAAGTGGTGGCAGTCTACCGTGCTGAGTCAAGAGTCTCAGTCCCCAGTCAGTACTTGTCCAGTCAAGCAAGTACCGCACGGGACTGTGTGCACTTCGGACATGGGAAAGGGCCAGACCAACGAGCTGCAGAAGTATAAATCGAGAGGCAGCGCCCAGTCATTCATTCATCCCTGCGTGAGCCATGCGGTAAGCGCTGCCATAAGCGACTTGTGCAAGGAGGTCTGCAGTAAGCCCAAGGACGAAGTGGGCGAGAGAGAAGGAGTGTAGCCATAGCAATAGGGTAGAAGCGGCCATAGCCGCCATAGCTGTAGTAGAGTTCAGTGTGTGTGTATGTATGTGCTCAGAGTATCGCGTGTGGGATATCAAGGGTGATCCTGTGTATGCGAACAGTGAGTTGTGTCGGCGCTGAGTCGCCATAGCCATCAAGTGAACTTGAATCTGAACTGTGTTCTCAGTTACCATATCTCCAAGTTCTGGGTGGGCGCTTGTCGCCAGTTGGCTGCGCACCTGTTTGCATGCGTGAGAAGTGTGAATAAGAGCGAGTCTGATTGCAGGAGAAGCGTTGGAGTGGGTATATGTTGCAACTCTCGTTGACTTGTCGGTACAGTACAAAGCGGACTGTCCTTTCAAAAAAAAAAGAAAAAAAAGAAAAAAAAAAAAGGTTGCTCCCGAGAATGAATACAGAGTCGGAATCAAAAGGAGGTTCTGTTCTTAACAAAAAAAAAAAAAAAAAAAAGGTTGCTCCCAAGAATGGATATGGAGTCAGAATCAAAAGGAGGTTCTGTTCTTAAAAAAAGAAAAAATTAAAGGCTGCTCCCGAGAATGGATACGGAGTCGGAATCAAAGGGAGGTTCTGTTCTTAAGAAAAAAAAAAAAAAAAGTCAGCCCCGCCGTGGCTTGGCTCATGGCGCACACCTCTTTCTGCGGCCCCTTCTGCTCCACCATGATCACACCGTCGCAGAACTAAGAGAGGAAAAATTGGCACGCCCATCAAACACAACAGACAGACCTGAGCTCGAATTGAACGAAGAGGACAACTCTGTGAGGGACGCCGGGCCTGGCTTGTATATAATAAAGTTTGGCTTACACCGCTGCATTTTTTGTCTTTCGTGCATGTGGACGATAGTGGACCGAGGTCATACAACCGCAAAAAGACAAAAAAAAAAAAAGACAGCACGAACACAGAGGACAAAAAAAAAAAAAAAACACGTCTGCCGGCTCTGCCACAAAATGAGAATGAATCTTCCGGTAGAACATGGGAAGATACCTCGCCATATTTCGTGTGTTTTGTGCACGTGGATGGTAAACTGGACCGACGGCCCAGAATCGCGCAGCTATGTATTTCTATTCAAATTTCAAGCGTCAAACTTCAAACGTTTCACACCGTCTCGCATCCCCGTGCAAATAGGAAAAGGAAGAAAACACACACGGACTTCAGCGCACAAATCCTCGATACTTCCCACGTCGTCTCGCTCCCCACTGGTGCGGCCTCCCTCCGTGGATTTTCGTAGGCCCAAGCGAAGTGTCATGAGGCAGCCGGATTTGCTTTTCATCATAAGATCGAGAAAAAGAAGAGAATTAAAAAGGAGTGATGGATGACCTGACATCGAGAGGGGGTCGGGTTCATTTAGCAAACCTACCCAGTGACAATAGTCCGCGCAAGCATGCACTCATGGTTCTTGAGCCGATGACCTTCATCCACAATTAGATAGTTCCAAGATATTTTCTTGAGAAACGCCTTATCGCGCATAATGAGGTCGTAATGAGTCATCAGCACACTGAATTTTGAGCCGTTTATCCAGTCCTCCCGGACCTGCTTGCGATCCTCCACCTTCCCGTCGTAAAGCACGCAACTAATGCTGCAAAGGAACAGCAGACAGAACCCCCCCCTCCCCCCCCAGTCACAACATTTCGTTTGTTTGCGTGCAAAGTATATTAGTCCCTTCCCCTGGCAGTACCCTTCCCTCCAATGCAAATCATCTTCCACCCCCAATCAACGCTAGTTCTGAAAGCATGCGCACACACACACACACACACGTGCAAAGGTGCCAACATGTATTGTGAATGTGTGCGCATGTGCACATGTGAATGTGTGTGCATGCGCATGCAAGTGTGCGTGTGCATCTCCATGTGTTGTCGAGGATCTCTCTCTCTCTCTCTCTCTCTCTCTCTCTCTCTCTCTCTCTCTCTCTCTCTCTCTCTCTCTCTCTCTCTC